CTTCTCACTATACTGTGTAGGATGCTAGCTGTCTTTGTGACTCTTGTATTTGTATATTGGGTTGGGCCCACTTCTATCTATATTAGGTTGGGCCCATTTCCATGTATGTTCGGTTGGGCCCATTTGCATGTTAGGCTAGGCCCATTTTCACGTATGTTGGGTTGGGCCCATTTGTATGTATGTTGGGTTAGGCATATTGTATGTTGGTCTGGGCCCATATGTATGGTATGTGGTATTTTGGGGAACTCGCTAAGCTTTGTGCTTACGGTTTTGTTGTTTGAATATTTTTAGGTACTTCCAGTTCTAAAGGGAAGGGCACAGCTTGACTGAACAACATTATGCCCATGATAACTTTTCCGCATTGATGACTATTATTTTACTCTGATGATTATGATATATTTGTTACTATGATATGCTTTTGGAAGGATTTGATGGTGGAACCGAATTGATTTTTGACAAGGTTAAGAAAATATAAAATTTTGCTATAGATATCACTTTTTCATTTTAGAGGGTAGACCCAAACGAATTAAGAATAATGGTCTAAAAATATGACATAATAACGAATACAACTAATGCTTGAAATCGGAGTTGTCCAAATTTCCAAATGAATAATATCAAAAGGGTTTTCATAAATATAATTAAAATGAGAAAATGGTAAACGAACAAACTTTTTCTAGTTGACATGGTTCACATAACAAACTAAAATTGTTTTTTTACAAGCAATTGAATTATTGGAAATTAATGTTTTCAACTCTTGGTCGCCAACATTACCTAAATGTTGATGTCAAAGAGACGGACTTGAAGCAATGAACACTTGAGGGGTGGATGATGTGACATCATAGAGAGGACCCATGTTATTAGATCGGATTAAAGGTTATTTTTTCCTAGAATCCTTGGCAGTAAAACCAAATTTATCAAATTTAATAGAACAGTTATTGTGACTGGTAAATTTACGAACAAAAATGAGATTTTTAATTATGTTGGGAGTGATTAAGACACTATTGAGATGTAAGGTGCGAAACGGGTTCGAAATTGGAAATGTAGTGTGTCTATTCATACTTATAGGATTTTAGAACCAATGCCAACATAAATAAAATGAGTACCATGATTATTCGAAATAATTTTGAGAATACCACCATTTGAGTGGACATGATCGGTAGCACCTTTGTCCGTAATCTAACCCGCATTGCTCTGATCGTTTAATGAGAACGTACTAAACATTTGAGGGAGTAAGGTGGGTTGGTCTTCAAAATTTTGCCACTGTGCATGTGTTGGAACGTTTTGTGGAAGCGGATAATTTCCATTAGGTTGATTTGAAACCATATGGGCATGATTTGAAGCATGATTGGGTTGATATGGAGGCTGTGGGCTTGGTTGCTGCAGACGAGAATGAATTGGATCGAGCAGGCCTGGTAACGTGGGTCATTGCTATGGAGTAATCCATTGTTGTGAGTCGGCCAGAGGAAAGAAAAACATGGTCTGATTTGAGGGAGCGATTGCACGCTGTTGCTGATGACCTTGTGACAGAGGGATATACACCCAACCGAACCGTTGTTGAGTGACCTGCTGATGGACCGGGTGGCGGCAGTTATTCCAGTGGGATTGCTTGAGGTTGTTGTTGTCCCCCCGGTAATTTTTTAAAGTTCCAGTAGCATGAAGAATGGTGGGGGGCGATGCATGGTCTTGGTGAGAGGCCTCCAGAGTGACACATTTTGTAAAAAGGTTGTTTCTTCAAGATCTATGATGTTACGAGTATCCATGAATGTAGGAAACAGTGTGCGGTGGCATATAATGCTATCCAAGTTGTGGTATTTGGATGAGAGTCAATTAATCGCACACATGAAGAGAGTTTTGTCAGGAAGCTTATGACTGAGGCTTTCAAGTTGACCAGAAAGAGTTTTTGATTTTTGTGAAGTAAGCAGCCACCGTGAGTTCACCCATGATGATGGTTCTCAATTTATTTTCAAGTTTCATGGCCTGAGAGTATTTGTTGGATCGAAATGGATTCTCAACGACGATCCATATTTCTCTTGCGGATTGTCCGTCTTTCAGCACCACATTGAGAACATTCTGTGAAAGGGAGCCATAGAGCCAAAGTTGGACGATAGAGTTAATCTTCACCCATTCGACATCGGTGGATTTGGGTTTCGGCTCATCAATATGGTCGAAAACATCTAATGCTTTGCAATGGGTATTGAACAAATCCCTCCATGCATTATAGTTAAATCACTCTAAATCAAGAAGGAGAGATATGTAGGTTTTGATGTTTATGATAGCGTAGACTTTGTTTAGAGGGGTGGATGGGAGTTGTCGCCCGACATGATGAAATTATAATTAACTTCTGATTAAAAGTGGTGGTGGTAGGGTTTGATACATGCTCTATATGAAAAGGAGTAGAGAAGGAAATATATGAAGTAGGCAAGGAAATAACAGGTAATAGAGGAAAGGAGAATATTTTAAAATTGGAGCTTTATTACCTTGAAACAGTGTATCATTATTATTAACCGTGATAGAAACACTACTGCAAAATCACAAATAGGTTACGACAGATGAAAAAGTTTACATGAAACAACCAGAAGGTTTCCTTATGCCCAGTAAAGAGCATATGGTATGTAGTTTGATGATGTTATTTTGTTCTCTAGTTTCAAGTTAAACCAATGTGACAAATTTGTTTGTAGTATACTTAATGATGCTATTGGTGTAGGCAAGATCATTTGCTTATATGTAGATGACATGTTGATTTTTGGTACTGACCAAGATCAAATAGATGAAACAAAGCAAATGTTGTCATCTAATTTCTCCATGAAAGATTTGGGAGAGACTGATTTAATTCTTGGTATAAGAATTAAAAGGCTGAATAAGGGACTAGTAATGACTCAAATTCATTATGTTGAGAAAAATTCTCAAACGGTTCAATTTTAATGATTGTTCTCCTATGAGCACTCCTATAGATTCAAGTATGAAATTAATACCCAAAATTGGAATTCCTATTTCACAATTGGAATACTCTAAGGCTATTGGTAGTTTCATGTATTGAATGACAAGTACCAGGCATGATATTGCTTATGCAATGGGAAAGTTAAGGAGGTACACTTGTAATTATAGTGCTCAACATTGGCAAGTGGTCAATAGAGTGTTTAAGTATCTCAAGGGAACCAAGGATTATGGGTTGAGTTACTTGGGAAGTCCTTTGGTCTTAGAAGTTCATTTGGATGCAAGTTGGATAACCAACATGGAAGAACAATCCTTAACAATTGGTTAGGTATTCTTGCTCGGTGGAGGTGCCATTTCTTGGGCTTCCAAGAAGCAATCTTGCATTACAAACTCGAAAATTGAATATGAGTTTGTTGCAATACTACTACTGGTAAAAAAGTTGAATGGCTAAGGAATTTAGTCTATGAGATTCCTTTGTGGTCAAAACTGATTGCACGTATATCAATCTTTTGTGATAATGAAACCGATTTGGATATAGCATATAGCCAGGTTTATAATGGCAAGTCTAGACACTTAGGTGTTAGAGACAATATTATTTGAGAACTAATCATGGATAGTGTGATTTCGGTTGAGTTTGTGAAATCGCAACAAAATTTGGCACATTATTTGACTAAAGGTTTGACAAGAGACTTAATGGTGAAACACTTAATTCCCTTCTAATGTGACATTAGGATTTGAATTCAATGTGGAAAGATCACACTCATATATTGGAACACATAAATTATATATCTCAGGTATGTTTTTGGTTCTGCAAGTTGACCGGGTTGAAGTTTAACTTCTTAATAATTCCTTTGATAAAATGTATGTGCAGATAAATGAAGTAAAGGAAGTACCTATGTGATTATGAAGTGTAGCAGCATTTCAAGAGGTTGGGGAGTTGGCCTTGATACAGTCATGAGAGGATTAGGGCACACAGAATTTATAATAATGTCAAGTTGTATTTCGCTAGAAAGTTCAATAAACTAGTATGTATCTTACTTTTAGGTATTCAAGTGGGTTGAAGGGTTCGATTCTTAGAACACCATGATTCTCGAGTATTTGAATTTTTTGATACTAAAATAGGAATTAAATCATTTCATCATTTTCATTTATGTACTAGTTTGGTTTTTTAGATAATTTTATGCTAGTTCATGTATTACACTAAAATAGGGGAGGATTGTTGGTGATTTTAGTGTCACTAGATATTTTGGGTAATTTGAGGTAACATGTGAGTTAAGGGGCTTATTATTTATACTTTATATTATATGTTCGGTGAATATGGAGTGCATACATGTATAAGATCGAATTGTAAGCCGGTGCGATAAAATGGTGGGGGTCGAGGGGGTTGCGCCCCTTTGGAGTGTCCAAGGGACAGAGCCCTTGGTGGTGGTCCCTCTCCAAGGACTTACTAAACCATTAATTTTGAGATTTCCTTAACTAATTTAGAATATTAAACCCTAATATGTGATGCATATATACAACTCTTATTTTCTCAGATCTTCTTCTTCTTGAACGAACTCAGAATTCTCTGGCGATTTGTCTTGTGTTACTGTGCCTAGATATACAAGCGTCCTTTTGGATTATCCTAGACTGGATGTCCTATAACCCAGACATAGGGTGGAAATATCACTTTGAAAAGTAAACTTACACGATCCATAAGGAATCTGGTGTCCACCATCACCCTAATTTTCCAACCAACACTAACATACATAGATACATATTTTAATTCATATTATAGGGGAAAATGTCATATTAACCCATCAAAATTTTCGTGTTTGTTTTAAAAGGTCATCCAACTTTTTTTTTGCACATTAAGGGAATAAACTCAAAGTTGATCGTTTTAAAAAGTCCTTACACCCTTGATAAACAGTCTCCTCGCCAAATTATCAATAAATGATTACGTGGATGCCAACTCACTGCTTACGTGGCAGCTAAGTGTGGTCCACTATACAACCCTTGGTCCATAAATATTGCCACGTCGTCGATGGGCCCGATATATAAGCAGAGTGATACCCTAATAGATCAATATGCACCACTTTGTTACCCTAATCAGTTTCTCTCGGTTGTTCTTCCTTCACCACCGAACACTCTTTAAATCTGATTATTTGCAAACAATGTCTCAACAAAGCTTCCCCCATAATGGTGGATTACGTGAGTTCGATCTATACATTCCACCGACTGAGTACGAGCTCCCTGCCATGGAAACCCAAGTGGAGCTGGAGCAGATGAGACAACAGATGCAGGCGGAAATGGAGGTGATAAGGATTGAGCTTCATGGGATGAACAACATCTTGAAGGTGATGGTAGCGATTGGCATTAGTCTTCTTCCTGGTGTTTGTGGAGTTTTCGGTTGTGGTGCGTTTGGTGTTTCATATTGGAAGTAGTTTGTGGGTTGATGCTGGCAATTTAAGGGTTATTTGGTTATGGATTTTGGGATTTTCGGTTGGTTTTTGTTCTAATCGCCATCATCATCGGATAATATCATGATAGAATTAAGTATGTAAGTATCGGTGGCATTTTGATGGCTTGAAACTGGTTTTTTGGGGGGTTTTGGATAGTAAAAAACCCCACGAATGTTGTAGTTATGTCCACTTTTGTATGAATGTTGTTTGGAATGTAATGGAAAATGTATGCTACTATGTTCTCATGTCATTTTTTGAAGAAATGGAAATGGTAGAATGTTAATGATCTCAATGAACTCAAGTAACAGGAAAAAAAGTACAATGTTAATGAACTCAATTAACAAGAAAAAAAGTATAATGTTAATGAAATCAATTAACAGGAAAAAAAGTACAGTCATAGTACAATGCTATTTTAGATACTACCTAAATAATTAACATCAGTGAAACTAAGTAATTGTCACCCTTCAAAGTACAATGTTATATTTAGCAGATAGATGTGAACATACAAAGGACATTTTGTTGATGGAAAATGTCATTAATTTTTGTTTTAAACACAAACTTACAAACTTAAAACAAACATCTCTAACCATAGTCCATAACCATAAAACTTTTAATCCATGCCCATTGATTTGGATGAGTTATCTCTTTCACCATTTTTGCCCTCCATGCGTTTTGCATTTTTTTTCTTGATTATCCTCTCTGACTTTTTCCATAGCTTGATTGTACGTTGTTGTTGACCCTTCTCTTTTTTCAGACCACTTCCACCTTCACCTTCAGCTTGAACCCTCCTTTTTTTTCAGACCACTTCCATCTTCACCTTCAGCTTGACCCCTCCTCTTTTTCTGACCACTTGCACTTTCACCTTCAGCTTGACCTTTTTTCGCACCACTTACCCCTTCAACTTGACCCTTTACCTTATCCAAACCACTTCCACCTCCATTTTCATCCTTCTTTTTAACCTGACATTTTGGGGGCCTTGCCACTGCAGTACACGTTGACTTGTTGTGCCTTGCCTATTTACAAACACCACATGCAATCCTTTTTCCTGACTTTGATACTTTGTGAGATCCACTAACTTTTGTACTACACCTCCTCCTCTTAATAGTAGGTCTCCCTGGCATCTTCGTTTTCAATGGTGGTAATGGTGCCATGTAGTCTGTTGGGGGCCACATTGCACTCCCACTTATACTTCCTATTGAGTACTTATAGGTGTTCATATATATATATATATATATATATATATATATATATATATGCAATCATGATATAAAGGATCACCAAATGCCTCTCTATTTCTGTTTACATAAGAAATGGCTGCCACTGAATGGACACAACCATACCAATTTAGTTTCCATATCCTACAAGTACATGTTTTCTTTTCCAAATCAACATCATATAACTCTCCTAAGTTTCTTGTTTCAAATGTATTCAGTCCACTAGGAAGCACTTGCTAGTACCTACAAATAAACACAATTACAATGAACTATTATTGTTGAAAAATAATGACAAAGTAGAACAAACCTTTGTTGGATCTTCAATTCATTTATGGAAAGCGTTAATGCTTTCAGACAACCCATTCTCAACAGCATAGTAATAATTAGCTTCTTCTTAGCATCCAAGATAACATTGTTAAAGCTTTCAGACAACCCATTCTCAACAGCATCACACCCCCTTCCTATTTGAAAAAAATGCTCTGGACCATGACTTTGGATTCCTTCCCATAAGATGCACATATGTTGTAGGGCTAATCATTTGAATCTCTTTCATTGCAGAATTGAAAAGAGGTTCAGTTGATACCTTACAAGCCTTCCAAAACAAATGTCTCACATTGAGCACCATGATATTTCTTCTTGAAGTTGGACAAAACATTCTTGGCACATTACCTATGTTCTACCGCTGGGAATAAATCCTTCACAGCTTCAATTATCCCCTGTATTTACATCATAAGGACATTTAGAACTAGATCATATATGAAACACATAAAGCATGGCATAATGAACCCAAACATACCTTATGTTGATCTGAAATCAATGTCTTACAATATCCACCTTCAAGATGCAGATATTATTGCAGATTTTCTAGAAACCATTTACAATTGTCTTTATTTTCAACACAAACCATAGCCCAAGCTATTGGGTATATATGATTGTTTCCATCCCTCCCAACAACACATAATAACCGACCAATACACATTCCTTTTATAAAACACCCATCCAAGTTTATAATCCCTCTACATCCACTTCTCCAACCCTGCTTTAGTGCTTAAAAACATACATACATCATGCTAAAGTAAGTTTTCCTATCTGACATAGATTTCACAGACAACTTGACTGTTGACCCTGGATTAGACCTTCTTATCTCCTCACCATAGGACCACAACTTTGCATAATTTTCCATTATGGTACCTTCAACAAGAGACACTACATGTTACTTAGCTCTCCTGCATTTTCCCATACTAACCTTTATGCCAAATTTAGTCTTTACTTCCTCTTTTAGCATCCTAACATTGAATTTCTGATTCTCAAGAACTTCCCTGGTGAAATGACTACCAATCCATCTATAATTAACAATTGACCCTAACTTAAAGTTCCTGGCACAATTATGCTCATTGATAAGGGACTTGATTTGGAATGAGTGCTTCTCACTCATCCATGACACCCAGAGCCAAAATATGCATTCACCATCACAGTACTTAACCAGTAACCTTTTACTGACATTTTTTTTCATAGTATAGTTGATACCTATTGGCTACAACATAATTACAAAGCATGAATTTCAATTGTTTAGGGTTAGTGAACCTCATACCTAGAATTGGCAATTGCTTCATCCAAGGTATGTCTTCATTAAATATTGGTTTTCCTTTCACATCTGAGACATTGTCATCTTCATCATCTTTTGGATTTTCACCTTCCGTGGCATCCTCAGTTCCATTTGATTGACTTACTCCTTCATAGGCTACTCTTTCCATGTTGTTCTGTTGTGGACTCAGGAACTCAGTTAGGTCATTACCTTCTTCCCTTTCAATTGGCATGTTTAATATAACATAACAATTGTCCTCAATTTCATTTTCCTTAGTTACGTGCACAGTAGTATCAAAATGGTCCATGTAAACAGGCAGTTGTAGTCCACACCAATAAGCAATGTCTATAAACTCTTGATATTGAAGTTCATTATAAATCAAGGTTAAACCGTTTGGGATTTCTAAATCAGGTTGACAATAATAAAGCTTCTAACACTTCTCTTGTGTGAATCGTTCAAGAAAACCCACAAATTCAGATAAGACATGCCATCAATATCAATATTCTCGAAAACATGATGAATACCATCAAAGTAGCAAAAATGTTTGTTGATGAACACACCTTGGAAATGAACTTTGATTAAGATGAATATAGCCATCGACACTCGACAAGAACATTAGTGGGAGGTAAGGGTTTTGTTTGTGAATGAAGACGACGGTAGTGACAAACGAAATAGGCGTATTTAAAACAATTCAAACAAAAGCTAATTAGACATGGCCATTTCATTAAATGACATGGCACCGACAATTCTTCTGTGGCACGTAAATTAGTTTTGAACCCGGTATCAAGTCACATAAGGGTATTTTAAAACAGGAGAATGTAAGTTCATTCCCTTAATGTGCCTTAAAAAAAGTTTAATGACCTTTTAAAACAAACACGAAAAGTTTGATGGGCTAATATGACATTTTCCCCATATTATAGTAAGATAACTTACCTGGGAAATTACTCAGATGACTATCAGCTATCCAATTGGTGGGTAACACGCCTAACAAGTATTAACCTGAAAGACCCTAAACTTTCATACTAAAGACATTGTTACTCCAAGTTACTCCAAAACATGCTAAATGCATATTCATAAAACAATATTTTACATTGATAATTTTGATTACAAAAGACTGGATACAAACCGACTAAGTTTTAGTATATTACATAACTACCCAGGATATTAAAGCTTTTATACAACATAAATCCAAGTAGAAAAGTAATATCATAAACTATTATAAATCTTCCAACGGTATATGACTAAACTGGATGTTTATTACCTGCAATTGTTAAACATTGAGAGGGGTAAGAGGTGAAGCTTAGTGAGTTCAATAATAGATACAATATAACGCTATGCCATATACATATCAATATGACAGAAGAAAAGAGGTACAAAGAACAACAAAGGCAGATTAGTATCATATGACATACTTTCCATATCAACGAATAATTTGATTCAAAGATATACAATCAATGAGACATAACGGTTTCAATACTTGATATACATCAATAAGACTTTTGCCCATATGGCATGGAAAAATAACTAATTTCTGGAAAAACATTTTGGCTAGCAAATTATAGGCTTTCCGCCCTGCCTAGCCTTCTGCAGATGCCATAATGGTAGAGTCATTCTCTTACGAGACATGCTCTACACGGCCAGATGCTACATACATGTACCCAAGTGATGCTTATGTCATACACTTCGTGGTCTAAGGTATAGCTCATTATCATAATAACACGGGAAAACACATTGAACATGTAACACATAACATACAATTGTTCCTATATATTGAACTCACCATGAAATAACCGGAGGTTAAAATAGTAATTTGGGCAGCACTTCGTTCTAATAAATAAGTTTCTTCGATGAAAAACCGGGAGCTTTATTGAAAACCGGACCTTGCGAGGGTTGAGCTTCAAACCAAAAAGATAAATTTCTCGGGGTCTTTGGGCACTTCAGAACGTATTTCGGGTGTTAGGTATGATCCCGGGGCTTCAGGGAATTAAAATTGGCTTAAAATAAGGTTTAGGGTGTAAAAAGTGTGAATTTTCCAACATTAGCCGGGAGGGTTCGCACCCTCCTATTTATAGTGCGAGGCTCGGATCCGGAGGGAGGAGAAGGGAGCACGTGGCTCGCATGCGAGGGGGGGGGGCAGATGGCAGGTGCGAGGGCGAGACACGCGGCGGAACCGGAGGCAGCTC